GCTTGAACTCAGGGCCTGGGTACTGTCCTTTAGCTTTTTTGCTCAGGACTGGTGATCTACCACTTGAGCCACAGCTTGAATCCCAGCCTTTTTTTGGTGATTAATTAGAGATAAGAATCTAACAGGTTTTTCCTGCTCAGGCTGGGCTTGGAACTGTGATCCTCAAATCTCAGCCTCCTGAGTAGCTCACAGGCTTGACCATTGGCACCTAGCCTTTCAAAAAGTTATTGTTTCTGAGATGGGAAGATAGCTCAGTGATAGAGTGCTTGCCTTGCATGCCCTGGGTTCGATTCCTCAGCACCAGATAAGCAGAAAAAGCCAGAAGTGGCGCTGTGGCTGAAGTGGTATAGTGCTAGCCTTGAGCTGAAGAGCTGAGGAACAGCACCCAGACCCAGAATTTGGGCCCCATGACTGACCAAAAAAAAAAAAAAGTTACTGTTTTGATCAGGCTGGGAATGTGGCTCAGTGGTAGAGTGCTCGCCTAGCATTCATGAAGGCCTGAGTTTGACTCCTCAGTACCACATAAACAGAAAAAGCTAGAAGTGGTGCTGTGGCTCAAGTGGTAGAGCACTAGCCTTGAGCACAGAGAAGCCCAGGGACAGAGCCCAGGCCCCGAGTTCAAGCCCTAGGACCAGAAAAAAAAAAAAGTTACTGTTTTTAACTTGATTATAGAAAACAATGTTCAGGGCTGGGAAGGTGGCTCAGGGGTAGAGCACTTGCCTCAAGTGCATGAGGCCCTGGGTTTGATTCCTCAGCACCACATAGGCAGAAAAAAAAAAGCTGGAAGTGGCACTGAGGCTCGAGCGCTAGCCTTGAGCTGAAAAGCTGAGGGACAGTGCCCAGGCTCAGAGTTCAAGCCTCACAACCAGCCAGAAAAAAAAGAAAAGAAAACAATGTTCAAAACTTGCATCAAAGCACAGAAAATGACACAATGACATAGTCTCACTTGATGTAGTCCTGGCTATCTTTAATCTCATGGATTCTCTGGCCTCCTGAGTTGCTGATATTACAGGAATATGCCACCACCATACCCACTTAGGACTTTGTTATCTCATCCCTGACAAAATTAGCATTGATTTCCATCTCCCCCTCTTCCATGTCATCTGAACAACCTTTCCATACTCACATCCCCACATCTCCCAAGGGTGCCCTGTTACAGACCCTTGGCTTGTTCACATCAGGTGAACACATCGCCTGGTATTTGGTTGTTGTCTTTCAAGTCCCTTGAAACCATACAGGAAGGAGAGCTTTGGAAACTGTTCCCCAGAGACAAGAAATGGCTCCGAAAAGTGAAGATCACATCCATGTATTCATGCCAGAATCTTAACAGGAGAGTAAAACCAGGCCAGGCACAGAAAAAAGCCATTTCTACCTTGTCCAAGGGCAGCCCTCAGCCCGTTGGCCTTTCTGAATCTTCTCACCTGTTAGCAGGAGGCGGAGGCTCAGAAGCCCACAAGATTCCTGTGCCTCTTCCTAGAAAAACAGGTACTCTGGGCAGCAGAGCCAGGCCCAGCCAGCAAAGGGAGCCATGCAAGTTACCGCCAGGTGAGAGACTTGGCTTAGGGAGAGGAGAGGGAGCAATGCAGAGTGACAGCTCCAGGCAGAAAGAAAAGTGGGTGTTCCAGGCTTTCTGAGGAGAATCATGGTGCTACAGAACAGATGGAGATCTGAAAAGCTGCCATCTGTCTGCAGTTTCTACAGGAAGTCTGGTATTTAGAGAAAAAGTCTTCTGGAAAGCCAGGGCTCTTTTCTCAGGCCTTGGTGGCGGCTGTTACTTCCTCTCCTTGCTCTGGGGATGTTGATGATGACCTGTCTTGTGCACTGCACTGTATCAGAGGCATTTACCTCATCATAAACATAACCTGACTCCAGCCAAAGAATTCCCTAAGCTCCCTGACAGCATGCATGGACCAACAAGGCTAGAGACAGCCTCCCATGTGCATACAGGAGGTGATGGGTGTCAGGTATAGCTCCTTCTACCCCTTCTTTTGCTTCAGGAACAGATTTCCCTGCAGCATTTCCATCTGACTTGGTAGGCTGAGCAGAGTATCCGCCTTTGGTGAGCCTCTTAGCATCTAAGGAGGCCTTTGATTAGCAAAGGCCCAGCTGACAGATTCAGTGCTCAAGTGGCCTTCTCCTGGGGATCAGGCTGTTGCGTGCAGCACATAGACAGGGCTGTAGAAGTAATTGTGTCACTTTGAGTGAATGGTTGTGGGAACAGCCCCACCTGACATATCACCTGGGGTTGGGGGGTCTGTTGGAGCTCATTGGGGGTATATGGAGAGACTTGGGGGAACCATGGGAACAGAAAAGCCTCCCTTCCAAGAGGACCCTACCTTAGGGCTGGGCTTGCACATGTAGTATGTAGAGGGGTGATAAATAGTTGCAGAAGGGGTCAGGAGAGGTGGATATGTTTCTCTTCTCTTTTCCTTGTCTGCTACCTTTTCCTCTGTTCTCTCCTGCACCCTTGGCCCAAACCTCTGTGTTTCCAGTTTGGTACTGAGAAATCAAACCCAGGGCTTCATGCATGCTAGGCAAGCACTCTACCACTAAGCCACATCCCCAGCCCTGTGTTTCCAGTTTGCAAGGATGAACAGCCTATGGCTTTCTCTTATCTCCAGTACTTGAAGATTGCCTTCACTTTGTTCCTATTCTCTCACACACCTAGAGCTCTCCTGCTGAGTTCCAGGCAGGGCTGTGGGGGGTGAGATCATCATGACACACTTTCACGGTATGTGGTGACTGGGCTGATCAAGTGATTTCCGCCTCTCATTGGTGAGACAGAACACATCCTAGGTCTTGAGGTTTTCTTCCAGTCTGTCTCTTTCAGCAGCTGAAGAAACTGCTAAAGCAACCATGCAGTTATCCAGCATCCAGAGTTGTTAGTCCAAGGGGAGGGAAGAGGAGGAGCCTGGGGCATTAACAGAGACAGGAAGGAAGACCTTGTGGCTTCAAGTTGCTGCCTTGCAGTGAGAGGCCTTCACTGCCAAGCTGGCAGAGACAGGTGCTGCGCATAGCAAATGAGCATGGAGGTGCCATGGGCAGGTCAGGGGTATACCAATCCTCTACTTGTGTGTGTGTGTGTGTGTGTGTGTGTGTACGCGCACGCATGTGTGCATGTGTGTGCATGCTGGTCCCGGGGCTGGGCACTGTCCCTGAGTCCCTGAGCCTTTTATTTTTATTTTATTTTGTTCTACCATCTGAGCCACAGCTCCTTTAGGGTTTGTTTTTTTGGAGGGTGGTTATCTGGAGATAAAGGGTCTCACAGGCTTTCCTTCCTAAGCTGGCTTTGAACTGTGATCCTCAGATTTCAGCCTTCTGAGTGGCTAGGCTTACAGGCCTGAGCCACTGCTGCCTGGCTTGTTTTTTTATAAATAATATTCCTGGGTTATATTCCATGTCAGGGATAGAGACATTTCTTGTAAGTTGTTGCAGGAAGTCCCACTTGAATTGGGCTTTGAAACACTGAGACCTTCCAGGGGGATGGAACAGTTCTGGAATGGATCTCAAGTGGATGCCAGGTCCAGAGTGGGGTGAGCTAGCAGTACACACTGGCATCCTCTGGGTACCTGGTACCATGACAAAAACCAGCAGGAGCAGAGCTACACGCCCCACGTAGCAAAGCGCTCACCGATGCTGAATGGTGGTTTTAGAATAGGAGCAGAGGGAAATCAAGCCACACAGGACCCAGTGGATCCTCCTGGGCCTTCATGTTCTTGAGAGGGGTCCTTTAAAAATAAATGGTAGCTGGGCACAGTGTCTCATGACTATAATCCTAGCTACTCAGGAAACTGAGGCCTGAGGATCACAGTTCAAAGCCACCCAGGGCAGGAAAGCCCCTGTGACTCTTATCTCCAAGTAACCAGTAAAAAGCCAGAACTGGGGGTGTGTGCGGTGGTAGATTTCCAGCCTTGAGTGGAAAAGCCAAACAAGAGTGTAAGGCTCTGAGTTCAAGCTCAAGTACCAACACCAAACTGGAAGCTAGTGATTGCTTAGAAGAAATGTATGTCTGTACACATACATGCTCCTATTTTCAGTCCCCAGAAACTTAAACCCACTTCCATCTATAGTTTTGCCTGGGCTGGGCATTTTGTATAAATGGAGTTACATCATATGGGCCATTTATGTCTGGCTTCTTCCACTTAATGATTTCAAGGTAACTCTATACAGCAGCATCCATCAACAAGACACTTGTTTCTGTTGTATGGGCAAACCAAAGGTTGTTGGACCCCATCATCACATACACTTAGATTGATTCTACTTTTTAGTCATAGAGACAATGCTGCGTGTGACCATTCATGTAACACGTTCACATAGTAAAATCTGCAAAGCATTTCAGGGGGGTCCATAGAACTCCCCAAATCTTATCTCTTGGTTTCGGATAACCATGTTTTACAACAAGAGGACATTTAAGAGGAAACAAAGAAGACAGGAATGGTAACAGCTTAGTTGCCATTAGATTATCCTCATTCATTTAACCCTCAGTAACTCAATGGCAATGAAATTATTACAAATGGGAAAACTGAGGCTCAGAGAAGCCAGGTTAGGACTGCCAGGCCATGAAAGGCTACTACATGTATAGTAGATATAGCTGTCTCTATCTGACCCCCATCAAGGACCCTATTTCCTTCTATTTATTTTGTAAATGAACATTACCAACTTCCAGCAAGACATCCGTTCTGCTGAGCCAAGCCGAGAGAGTCAGCCCAGTGTACTGGGCGGGGTCATGCTGTCCCATGACCCTCTTCCCAAGGTGATGCTAATTCATGCCTCTGTCTTCAGGAGAGGCGGGGCCTCCAGCCTGGCCAGTGATAATAAAAGCTCAGGGCATCTCCAATGGCAGCTGAGCCATCCATACGGGTGCTCTCACTGTGATTTCCACTGTACTTCCTTCCCCATTGGGAAGGGGCCAGGGGCAGGCTGTGGTCCTGCAGGAAGGTGGGTTGGCTGCCATCTGAAGTCCAGTGAATGACATTGCCATTCTGTGCTTTCTTTCTCAGCCGGTGGACACTCAGCAAGCCATGGTGCGAAGGGAGTCTGTGGTCAACCTGGAGAATTTTAAGAAGCAATATGTCCGCAGGAGGTGGAAGGTGGGTCAGGATCTGGGGAAGGGGAGGGTGGGGATGGGGATGGGTGCAGGTGGGGCTCCTGGGCCTTCTACCTATGGATCCTTTGTTCCTCCCCCTCAGCTCTCCTTTAGCATTGTCTCCTTGTGCAACCATCTGACACGCTCCCTGATGAAGAAGGTGCACCTGAGGCCAGCTGCGGACCTGGTGAGTAAGTGCAGATGTGCTGGTCCTGGGGCTTGAACTCAGAGCCTAGCTGTTGTCCCTCAGCTTTTGTGCTGAAGGTTAGCACTCTGCTACTTGAGCCACAGCTCCACTTCCAGCTTTTTTTTTTTTTCTGGTTAATTGGGGATTAGAGTCTCATGGACTTTCCTGCCTGGGCTGGCTTTGAACTGTGATCCTCAGATCTCAGCCTCTCGAGGAGCTAGGATTACAGGTGTGAGCCACCAGCGCCCAACCAAAAGCCCTTTTCTTGGTTACAACTCGGGCAGCAACTTAGGAATTGGGTGTTCCAAAGTGTGTGTGTGTGTGTGTGTGTGTGTGTGTGTGTTTGAGGGTCCTCTCAGTGGTGTTAGAGTGGGAGGGTACTGCCGTGGAATAATAGGAGCTTTTGGAAGATCTGGAATCTTCTGAAGACTTGCAGCCCTGCAGGGTCTGTGGGGGCTCTGAGGAATGAATGCCATAGACCATCCTAATTTTTTTTCTAGTGCTGGGACTTGGAACTCAGAGCCTTACCGCTCACTCAGTGGCTTTCTTGCCCACCGCTTTCTCTCTACCATTTGAGCATTGATTGCAGTCCAGCTTTTTACTGGTGAATTGGAGCTGGCATCTCCACAACTTTTCTACCTGGACTGGCTTCAAACCTTGACCATCCAGATCTCAGCTTCTTAAGTAGCTAGATTATAGGTGTGATCCACCAGCACCTTGCCCAAAATTTATCCCTGATTATCCACAGTTTGCTTTTAGGGTGGGAGCTTTAGCTTCTCTTTGCAATGTTTCCATTTGTTTTGCTTTGGATCACCATGATTAACAATAATATTTAGAAAACACCTTTATACTGTCATAGTTTCAAGTGAGAGTCTGGTAATACCTCTAGAGCCAGACTATCAGAATTTAGATCTGCTATCTATCAGCTGTGTGACCTTAAGGAAAGTACTTAACATCCCTGTGCTAAAATGTCACCATTTGTTAAATGGAGTTAATAATAGTTCCTGCCTCATTAGATGGTCATGGGATAAATGATCATCTGTTCTTAAAGCCTGCCTTATACATGCTCAATACATATTAGTAATTGTTTAAAATCCTCCTGTAGATGGATGGTGGATGCCTGTAATCCCAGAGGTTGAGAGGTTGAAGCAGTACGCCAGCCTGATAACAAGACTCTGTGTCAAAAACAATAAATAGGGGCTGGGGAGGTGGCTCAGTGGTAGAGTGCTTGCCTTGCATGCATGAGGCCCTGGGTTCGATTCCCCAGCACCACATTAGCAAAAAGAAAAAAGCCGGAAGTGGCGCTGTGGCTCAAGTGGTAGAGTGCTAGCCTTGAGCTAAAAGAGCCGAGGGACAGCGCCCAGGCCCAGAGTTCAGGCCCCATGACTGGACCCAAAAAAAAAAAAAAAACAATAAATATCCAGGCACCGTGGCTGATGCCCATAATCCACTCAAGAGGCTAACATATGAGGATCACAGTTCATTCAAAGTCAGCCCAGGAAGAAAAATCTGAGAGATTCTTTATCTCCAATTAACTAGCAAAAACAAACAAACAAACAAACCCAAAACAACAAAAAACCAGGGTAGAGGTATGGCTCAAGTGAGAGAATGCCAACCTTGAGCAGAAAAAGTCAAGTGAAAGCTTAAGACCCTGAATTCAAGGCCCAGTTCTGCCACACACACACACACACACACACACACACACACGTACACAGCCTTGTGCTCTCCACATTTCCTTGAGTCCTTTTTCTTCAGCCTGAGCTCTTGTGTATTTCCTGTTCCTGCCAGGACCTGTGGGGCTTTGGCTGAGCTGAGTTCCTTTTCTGGCTGCTATTCTCATCTTTTCTAAAGAAGACTAAACTGTTCTCCCTCTGAGAATCCTTTTGCATCACAGACTGACTTTACTCAGCTTACTTTTTATTGTTCTGCTCTGACTCATGCTAAAAAGGTTGCTATTCAGCAGAGCTTGAGTTATTTTTATTGGTATGGCCAAGCTTGGTCCAGGATGTATTTGGCTTATGTTGATCTTGACCTTGCATTTCCAGCTGACCCAAGTTCACCTGTTGTGTGCAGGACAGACTGCCAACAGGCCTGCCTTCCAGGCTGAGCCTCTAGTTCCACTGCTTTGATCAGATGCAATCTGGGGAGCAGGAGAACAGAGAGCAATTAAAAAGAAAGTTAATTTCTTTCTTAACTTTGACCTTATGCCAACATCTAAAGATTAACCTCTGCCAGATGCTGGTGGTTTATGCCTATAATCCTAGCTACTCAGGAAGCTGAGATCTGAGGATCGTGGTTCAAAACCAGCCTGGGCAGGAAGGTCTGTGTACCTCTCATCTCCAGTGAACCAACAAAAGGCAAGAAGTAGAGCTGTGGCTCAAGGGTAGAATACTTCCCTTGAGTACAAAAGCTCAAGGACAATGACCAGCCCCTGAGTTCAAGCCCCAGTATATACATGTACACACACACACATACACACACACACAAACACACATGGATAGACTTCTTTCTACTGGCTCAATACCATTATCTCAGTGGCTCGCCCTAGAAATGGAAAAGGATTAGATCTCAAAGGGACCTAAGTTACAGATTCCCAAAAGGACTGTCCTTAAGAGAAAAGAAGAAAAAAAGAGATAGAGAAAACCTTTTGTTTAGAGAACACTGAAATTGACTAACAATAGATTATACTTATACTTTCTTCCTCATTCATGAAAATGGAGCTCATAAATCATTTCCTTGGAAAAGCAGTGTAGCTTCAGCTGACAATACAATATAAGCAAGTCAAGGTAGAGCTGGTGCTGTGGTAGCTGACAGATCTTGGAGGGAGAAACCTATGGCTATTCAGTGTCTTCTCTATAGGCTGAGCTCAGGAAAGCCAGGATCCCTCAACCTTCCAATCCTGGTGGCCATGACTATGTGGCAGCCACAAACAGTACCAGATGTGATTTTCATTACTATAATTTGGCCTTTCCCCATGCCTTTGAATGCCAGCTTCCTGCCTCCAGCCTCCACGCAGTTGGTTTGGCCTCATTTCAAGCTTCCCCTCCTGCCCCTTTCCTGCCTCTGGTCTCTGCATGGAGTAATAGACTTTGCTTCTACATCATCTCCCTAGCTTAGACACCCCTGTCCAGCACAGCCCCATTCCTGGCATCCTATGATACCCTGCCCCTGGGGGCTCTTTTATTCTGCCCCCACCAGAGAAATTGCGAGAGTGACTCGGAGGAGGACATCGCCAGGAGGAAAGCTCTCCACCCGCGGAGGAGGAGCAGTACATCCTAAATGGCTCAGCCCACAGTGGCTGCCAGGGAGGTCCAGGCCCAGTGGAGCTCCTTTCTGTCCAAGCTCGTGGACCATGCTCATCATTAGCATTCAGGAGTTCTGCATTCCTGAGCACTTTGTAAGAGAGAGGGGGGGGGAGAGAGGAAGAGAGAGGGAGAGGGGCCCACGGAATTCAGAAGACTTTGCAGGGAGCCTGGAGACCTGCCAGCATTCCCAAACCTCTCAGTCCTCCATCTAAACTGGCTTTGGTCTATCTGCCAACCCCAGGACCTGGGGGAGGGGCATGGACTTGATGTAAGGGACATCATCTTCATTATGGGGCAAAGGCCACACTTGGGCAGCATAGCTTACAGGATGAGGGAGTTCAGAAGCAGCCTGGTCAACGATCAACATCCAGAAGACAGAAGCTGCCCCCCACGGGAACAGGAGGACCGGCTGAAGAGAATCTTGGAGCATAAGGGACCAATCCTATGTCCTCCCAGAAAGCCACATGGAATCTAGACGTCCACATCAGACCTGCTAATGAAGTCCAGTGCGATCCCACTGTGTTCTGATTTTGCTCATTTTTATTAAACTTCTTTGTTTATCTAATGCTTGGTGGCTTCTTCTTTTTTTTTTTTTTTTTCTGGTCCTGGGGCTTGAACTCAGGGTCTGGGTACTGTCCTTGAGCTTTTTTGCTTGTGCTCTACCACTTGAGCCACAGCTCCACTTCTGGCTGTTTTTTGTAGTTAATTGGAGATATCTCCATAGGCATTCCTGCTTGTGCTGGCTTGGAACAATAGATCCTCAGATCTCAACCTCTTGAGTAGCTAGGATTATAGACCTAAGCCACCAGCGCCTGTTTTTGTCTTGTTTTGTTTTGTTTTGTTTTCTCCCCTCATCTTCTTACCCAGGTTCTATAAAGCACTTTTGGCTGAGTCCCTTTAACCCAGCTCTCTGGTGCTAGGTGCTACCTGCTGCATTTCCCAGAATCTCTTGGGAAGCACAGAGCCAGGCTAAGGGCCTACACGGGGCCTGGAGGATGCACATCCTTGGCAGATGCCTTTGAGAGCCAGAAGCTAGGCATCCATGCCACTCCCAGACATGGCTCCAGTCCTTGTGCTGTCTCTGCTAGGAGCTAGCAGCTGGCGTCAAGGTGTGAATGTGGGTGTGGCTAGCTCAGGGGAACCAGAAGTGTTTTGTTGGCTCTGACGAAGGATATGATGGCCAGCTGACACAGGGAGGTGAAGAAAGGCCACCGTGTGCTTTGAGGCCAAATGGAGCTTTGCCAGGAATGAAAACCATCCCTGGTTAAAATACAGTTCTTTGAAAAGGTCTGATGGGTTCCTGCCCCAGAGCATTAGCCAGTGTGCTTGCAAGATGCTACATCAATATTTCATAAGTCCACACATAAATATTTTAGCATGCACTGTGTTTTAATGTCAATCTCACCAGCTTTCCTGACTCCAGGTCTTAGATTGCCTTCACCTTTTCCACTTGCATATTGATTTGTAAAAGCCTTGTGTTTTGAAGCAAATAAAAGCCATTCCATAATCTTCCCTATGAAAGATGTCAAGCCTGGATTCCGTGGGCGATCAAAGTAAGTACGTGTGGATAGTTCACATGAGGTCTGCGTGCTGAAAGGAACTGTATCTGGTGTAATCTGGAAGAATTACCTTTCCATGTGGTCCCCACTTTGGGATCATTCTGAGATTGTTCTGTTCACTGTTTCTATACCCCCAAAGAATGTCTTCCTTGGTGGTCTTTTGGGACCACCTCAGTCCAAACAAACTTTAACCAGCTTATGGATTGGAATGGTTAAAGAGCTAGTTGTGAACCATGGTGATATTTCAAAAAGCAGAACCAGACATCAGTAATCACACCCATAATCCTAGCTACTCGGGAAGCTGATATGTGATCTCTGATCAATGGTTTGAAGCCAGCCCTGAAACAAATCTGAGAGACTTACCTTCAGTTAACCAGCAAAAAGCCAGAAGTCAGCTGGGCACCAGTGGCTCATGCCTATAATCCTAGCTACTGAGGAGGCTGAGGCCTTAGGATCAAGCTTCGAAGCCAGTTCAAGCAGGAAAGTCCATGAGACTGTTATCTCCAATTAATCACCAGAAAGCTAGAAGTGGAGCTGTGGTAGATCACCATCCTGGAACAATAAAAGCCAAGGGACAGTATCCAGATCCTGAGTTCAAGCCCCAGGACTGACACACACAATAAAGTAGAAACAGTTGGTACCTTCCACTACTGCTTCCCTTCTTACTGATTTAGCCTCTCTGCCACTCACTCTCATTTTTCCCTCACCTTCTCTCCATTATCTATTTATAATGCATAGCTATGAATATATTTTAGTAATTTCTTGGCTTATCGGATGAAATTCATGCTTCTAGTTATTAGATTCGGCCTGTGTTTCCTCTACCCCCTGAATTAAAGGAAAAGCAGACCTGAAAGCAAAAGAGGTAGGGTTGATTTTGAAAGGCCTGCTTTGCCGTTGGACATTTCTGCATACATTTCATGTCATCCTCTTCAAAACCTCCTAAGGGGAAATATATGAGCCCCATTTATGTGCATGATGAAGCTGACATTCAGCAGCGTTAAGAAATTTGCCTGCAATCACCCAGCTGGAGAACTTGGAGTCTGGATTCTAGCCCAGTTTTGCCTACCCCACATTTACATTCTTGTCAGCTTTTTCCTGGAAAAATACAGTGATAGATGGAGAAAGAATCCTGGAGAACCACGTACAGTATGATACTTAAAAAAAAAAAAAAAAGCCTCAAATCGATACCATATGTTTAGAAAGACAAGCAAATGTGATTATGTATTTTAGAAGCAAGTGAAGAACTCACGCAAAATGAAAGGGGGAAGGGAGCTTCTATCAGGGCAGCTGAGGTAGAGAGAGGCACCAGGGTAGGCATCGGGCTATTGCCAGTGTTTTGGCCACGTCTAAATTCATGGTAGGCTTCTGGAGTTCAGCTTTCTTTGGGGAGGGTGGGGGTCCAGTCGTGGGGCCTGAACTCTGGGCCTGGGTCAGTCCCTCAGCTCTTCAGCTCAAGGCTAGCGCTCTACCACTTGAGCCACAACGCCACTTCCAGCTTTTTTCTTTTTGCTTATGTGGTGCTGAGGAATCGAACCCAGGGCCTCGTGCATGCAAGGCAAGCGCTCTACCACTGAGCCACCTTCCCAGCCCTGCTGGAATTCAGCTTTTAACTGACATGTTAGCTGCCCATGCATTTGCATGTACCGAGTATCACATTAAATTAATAAAGGAATGCCAGGTTCCAGGTAGCTTATTACACTTGTAATCCTGGCTACTCAAGTGCCTGAGATCTGAGGATCATGGTTGGAAGCCAGCCTGGTCAGGAAAGTCTGTGACTCATCTCCAACCACTAGAAAACCTGTGGATCAAAGTGGTAGAGTGCTAGCCTTGAGTGAAAAAGCTCAGGGATAGCGCCCAAGCCCCATGACTGAAAAAAACATTTTTTTTTTTTGGTCAGTCATGGGGCTTGAACTCGGGGCCTGGTCCCTGTCCCTGAGCTCTTCAGCTCACGGCTAGCGTTCTACTACCTGAGCCATAGCACTACTTCCCAAAAACATTTTTTAATTAAAAAATAATTAATAATAAAGGGCCAGGAGTGGTGGCCTATATTGTAGCTACACAGGAGACAAAGATCAAGGACAGTCATAGTTTGAGGCCAGTCTTAGTGGAAAAATCAAGATTCACCCATTTTAACAAATAAGCCAGGTGTAGTGATACATGTCTGTAGCCAAGCTACGTGAGAGGCATAAGTGAGGATCGAAGTCCAGACTAGTATGTGCAAAAACAGTAAGACTATATCCTAAAAATTAATTTTAAAAAAAGAGAAGAGGAGGAGGAGAGAGAGAGGTGCAGCTCAAGTGGTTAAACTCATACATGGCCAGGGCTGGGAAGGTGGATCAGTGGTAGCGCGCTTGCCTTGCATGCCTGAGGCCCTGGGTTCGATTCCTCAGCACCACATAAGCAGAAAAAGTTGGAAGTGGTGCTGTGGCTCAGGTGGTAGAGCGCTAGCCTTGAGCTGAAGAGCTGAGGGACAGCGCCCAGGCCCAGAGTTCAGGCCCCACGACTGGACCCAAAAAAATAATAAAATAAAAATAAACTCATACATGGCTAGCAGTGTGAGTTTAAATACTAGTACCACCCAGAAAACCCCATAATAATCATAATAAAAGGAATAAGTGATATAAAAACAGTTAAATCCTGGGCTGGGAAGGTGGCTCAGTGGGTGAGTGCTTGCCTTGCATGCATGAGGCCCTGGGTTCAATTCCTCAGCACCACATAAGCAGAAAAAGTTGGAAGTGGTGCTGTGGCTCAGGTGGTAGAATGCTAGCCTTGAGCTGAAGTGCTCAGGGACAGCACCCAGGCCTCATGACCAGTAAAAAAAAAAACAAAGACAATAAAACAAAACCAGATAAATCTTGATGACCCCAGTTGCTGCTGCAGCCTCCATTGAAGAAGGATCCCACATCACCTGTGTGAAGACCTAGACTTGAGCCTTGAACTTAAGGCCTTATACTCCCACAGCTGCCATCTACCATTTGAACCAGTCCCTCAATTCCAGCTCTTTAGCTGGTTAATGAGAGCTAAATTGTTTTGTCTCCTTGGACTGGCTCTGAGCAGTGATTATCAGTGCACAACCTCCAGTGTAATTAGGATTATAAGCATGAGCCACTGACACCCAAGCTTGGACTGGGATTTTTATTCCCACTCTGCAGAGAAGAGAGAGAAACTCCTCTGCCCATCCCTGCCTGGCTTCATCAAGTGGGAGTTTGCCTGGGGACCGAGGCCTGAGCCAGCTTCCTAGGCCTGCAGGCTGGGTTACCAGTGTATGCTCTAGCTGCCCTGGGGAAGTCTCTTCACTGAAAACCACAGGCTAGCCCAAGGGTTGCAGTGTTATAGGGCTGAGTGGTCCCTCTGTTTCTATATGCGTTTGCCCCATTTTGGAATTCAGCAAATGTGGTTCTTCAGTTCCCCTTTCTACTTCTAGATAGTCCTTCTTTTTCCCCCTTGTTTCTAGTTTTATTCATTGCTTTTTTTTCCATCTCTTGCATGCTTGTAGACAAATGATCTGCTCTAGATGTGTGTTTTGACTCTATGCTTAATACTTGAGGTTATTCTAGTGTAGATTTTTGCTTGGTGGCAACTATGAAGCTTATAAAAATATCTAGTCGGGCTGGGAAGGTGGCTCAGTGGTAGAGCGCTTGCCTTGCATGCATGAGACCCTGGGTTCGATTCCTCAGCACTACATAAGCAGAAAAAGTTGGAAGTGGCGCTGTGGCTCAAGTGGTAGAGTGCTAGCCTTGAGCTGAAGAGCTGAGGGACACCCAGGCCCAGAGTTCAGGCCCCACAGCCAAAAAATAAATAAATAAATAAAAATAAAAATATCTAGTGATTATTACAAGGTATTTTGAAGTGACAACAGTATGATTACTAAGACAAAATAGAACAGTTATGACCAATGGTTTTATTTTTATCTTTGTTTTTATACTTTATTGTTATTATAAAGGAGATGTACAGAGGGATTACAATTACATGAATCAGGTAATGAGTATATTTCCTTTTGTACAGT